AAACTCTGAGCCAATGGCATCAAACTCAATCCCGGGAAGTGTGTTTTCGGGGTCCCGAGGGGTATACTGCTCGGCTTCATCGTCTTTGAGTGTGGCATCGAAGCCAACCTGGAGAAAATCTCGGCCATCACAAGGATGGGCCCTATTTAGAACATAAAGGGGGTTCAACGAGTCACAGGGTGCCTCGCCACACTCAGCCGATTCATCTCACGCCTCGGCGAACAAGGTCTCCCCCTTTATCGACTCTTGAAGAAAGTCGACCACTTCAAATAGACATCCGAGGCCCAGGAGGCACTTGACATGGTCAAACTGCTTCTGACAAAGGCCCCGATCTTGGTTCCTCCAACCGATGGAGAATCCCTTATGCTATACATAGCGGCCACCATGCAAGTGGTCAGCGCCGCCCTGGTAGTGGAGCGGGAAGAAGAGGGGCACGCCCTCAGAGTGCAGCGCCCTGTGTACTTCATCAGCGAGGTACTATCCGACTCTAAGACCCGCTACTCCCAAATCCAGAAGCTCCTGTACGCCATTCTTATCACCAAAAGGAAGCTACGCAACTACTTCGAGTCAGACCCAGTGACGGTCGTGACATCGGTCCCCCTCGGCGAGGTCGTCCAAAGCCAAGACGCCACGGGAAGAACCGCAAAATGGGCGCTCGAGTTGATGGATTAGGGCATTATGTATGCCTCCCGAACAGCAATCAAGTCCTAGGTGTTGGCGGACTTCGTCGCGGAATGGACCGAGGTCCAGATGCCCCCAGCGGTCGTTGATCAAGAGTACTAGAGGATGTACTTCGATGGATCACTGTTGAAAAAGGGTGCCAGCGCGGGGCTGGTCTTCGTATCACCCCTCGGGGTACGCATGAGGTACATGGTTCGTCTCCATTTCCCCTCATCCAATAATGTGGCTGAGTATGAAGCACTCATCAACGGCCTACGCATCGCCATCGAGTTGGGCATCCGACGCCTCGATGTCCGGGGTGACTCCCAGCTGGTCGTCAACCAAGTCATGAAGGAGTCAAGCTATCTAGACGCCAAGATGGCTGCATATTGCAGAGAAGTCCGGTGGCTAGAGGACAAATTCGACGGCCTCAAACTCAATGATATTCCTGAGGCGGCCGACGTGCTTGCGAAGGTGGCGTCTGGCCGAGAGCCGGTGCCAATAGGTGTATTCGCCAGTGACCAACACAAGCCCTTGGTATGCTACGAAGGGTCAGAACAGGCCAATGATGGTTCGCCTGATCCAGCCTCGGGGGCTAACCAACCGACTGCTCCATCCGGTCCCGAGGTCATGGAGCTTGAAGATCTAGTGACAGAGCCTGACCCTCTGGTCGACTGGAGAATGCTCTACCTCAACTACCTACTCCATGACATGCTGCCGACAGACAGGGCAGAGGCTCGACGGCTCGCACGCCACGCCAAGTCCTTCGTACTTGTGGAAGGCGAACTCTACAAACGAAGCCACACCGGGATCCTACAACGCTACATCCCCATTGAGCAAGGGAAGCGCTTACTGAGCGATATCCATAGTGGGGTCTGTGGTCACCACGCCGCTCCTAGAACCTTGGTTGGAAACACATTCCGACAGGGCTTCTATTGGCCTACGGCAGTAGCCGACGCTGAGCAGATCGTACACACCTGTGAAGGGTGTCAGTACTACACTCGACAAACTCACCTCCTAGCCTAGGCACTCTAGATGATCCCCATCATGTGGCCCTTCATGGTCTGGGGGCTCAATCTAGTTGGACCTCTCAAGAAGGCGCCCGGAGGCTACACCCACTTGCTTGTCACCATAGACAAGTTCACAAAATGGATAGAAGCTCAGCCGATCTCCACGATCAAGTCTGAGCAAGCCGTGCTGTTCTTCCTCGACATCATCCATCGCTTTGGAGTACCAAACTCCATCATCACAGACAATGACACGTAGTTCACTAGCAAGAAATTCCTTCGATTCTGCGATGAATACCACATCTGGGTCGATTGGGCCGCCGTCGCGCACCCTCGAATGAACGGGCAGGTCGAGCGTGCAAACGGCATGGTCCTACAGGGCCTCAAGCCCAGGATCTTCAACCGGTTGAACAAGTTCAGCGCACATTGGGTCTTCGAGCTCCCCGCGGTACTCTTGAGCCTAAGGACAACTCCCAGTCGAGCCACCAGCTACACACGCTTCTTTATGGTCTATGGTTCTGAGGCCATCCTCCCAACCGACCTCGACTATAGAGCACCAAGAATCAAGGCATATAACGAATAGGGAGCCAAGGCATCCCACGAGGATGCCATGGACCAACTGGACAAAGCACGTGACGTCGCCTTCCTCCGCTCGGCCAAGTACCAACAGGCGTTGTGATGGTACCACAGCCGACGGGTGCGGAGCCGAGCCTTCAACGTCGGGGACCTAGTCCTTCATCTCATACAGAGCAACAAGGACCGCTACAAGCTCTCCCTGCCTTGGAAGGGGTCGTATGTCGATGCGGAAATACTCCGGCTAGGCGCCTACAAACTGAAAACCATCGACGGCGAGGTCTTCACCAATGCCTAGAACATTGAGCACCTATGTCGCTTTTACCCCTAAATAAACGCATACTTTCTCTTATTAGTTTCATCATTGAAATCCCCGATCTTTTGTGACGTCCGATCCCTGCAAGTGCGAGGGGCTAGGCCTCACTCAGCAGCTGGTATGAGTACATTTACCTTGTGAACATTCTCTGCGCACGCCCTCCTTTTTTATGTTAATTCCTAGGAGCTTGATTTACGGGCACAATTCCTGAGTATAACTGGTAGGACCGCGGGAAACCCATGCCCCGACGGCTACAGTCTTTTTGCTCACCAGCGTGATCAGAATTGGCTCGCCCGCACTCTGAGCTTTTGCGACCTTAACCACGGAAAGGGTCGGGATGCGCTAAACCTTTTTTGCACAAAAAAGTGGGAGAAGAAATAAGAAGCTGTTTGCTGTAACAAAATTTGAAAGCTTGGCCATTTGTTACAAGTTTTGCCACCTGGCTTCCCTGCTTAACTAAATTCTTGCGCGGGATGCCCGCATCCTTTATATCCGCAGGAAATTCTTGTTTCAAGCAGGTAGCCCGAATCAACTGAACGGCACGACCATTGCCAGGAAACGGATGGGACAAACTTCCCCTTACAAAGTGATTTCATCACGAAAAGGGACTGATGTATTCATGAATACAAAAAGCTATTCACACGGGGGCTCCCCCACAACTTAAAACAGTTACATTTGCTGACCACTTCTACTCTAAATACTACTATGGCCGCCGCGCCACGCTCTCCATCGGCAACATCCTACCGCTCGGCGGGATCCCTGAGGGTGCCGTCGTCTGCAACAGCGAGCACAACGTCGGTGACCGTGGTGTCCTTGCCGGGGCGTCCAGGGACTACGCCATCATGATCAGCTACAACCCTAACAACGGCGCCTCGAGACGAGGCAGCCCCTGGGTGGGGACACTGCCTGTCGAAGTATGGCTACCATGGCTGGAGGATGTCTCCGACATCTCATAAAACTTGATGAACTGGCCGACCTGAGTGGCTACAGGGGCGAAACCCCCCATCGGCGTAGTCCTGGGCGGCTTCCCCACCGATAAGGCTCGTCCAGAGAAGATTCACCAGAAGAAGTCTCCGTACGGCTCTATCCCGATGAAGGCCTCACAGATGGTGACAAAGCCGGCGACGTGCAGCACCCTCCAGTGCGCCTCCTCCTTTGGCTGAATCGACCCCTTCTCGGTGAAGGCGGCCAGCACCATCTCATCTATGTTGGATGACCTCCAGCTCGACATCGCGCTCCGGATTCATGAACGGATCTGTGAGTCATCCTCTCCCTCGCATTACCCTCTCTCACTTAGGAACCACCACGACGCACGAACGCACTCGGCGAGAAGGAAGAAGGAGGGGAGGCAGCAACTAGAAAGACCACGATGCACGAACGCACTCGGCGAGAAGGAGGGGAGGCGGAGGAATGGGACGAGAATCCTCTCCCTTCCCCTATTTAAGGAGGAGACGCAACAGTTGGAGGAAGACGAAGGATTGGGGCGAAAAACCCTCTCCCTTCCCCTATTCAATGCAGATGAGAATTCGATGGGACGCGTCCTGGCTGACAGGACGCGCCTTGGTCGACGAGACGGTGCCTGGTCAAACGGGACGTGGCCTGGGCATGGTCCACCACTACCGCACGCCGGACGCGAGAAACAAGGTGCAGTCGCATGCAGGCGGCTCTCCGCCTTCCCAGGCAGGACATGGAAGGGCCCAACGACGGAGCCTCCATCAAGGGGAGACCAACGGGCCTCCTAAGTCAATCGGACGACCCAGTCGAACGCCGAGCGACGAGGTTGGGGAACTAAACGACCGTTGAAAGATAAGCATCCTTATTTACTTACTTTACGTATCAATTTCACTACCGAGCCTCCGACCCCAGTAATGGCAGGGGCGCGGACATCGCTCGGGGGCTGCCGAGAGTGTCTACCCGTTTAGACATTATCTTCGTCCGACCCCTCCTTATGTTTAAAAACCAGAGGCACGGTGTGCGGGTGTAAACTTCGAGTAAAACTGGTCGAACCGCTAGACCCTATGCCCCAGCGGCTATGGCGTTTTTGTTCACCAGCGTGATCGAATTCCTTATCCCCGCACCCCAAGCTTTAGCATCCGCCTTCTCGAAAAGCATTCGGAGAGGTTCACCTGCGAAATCTCCTTCAAGGAGAAGCTGTCAGGTCGCCCAAGTCGATCGAACGGCTCGAATCGCTGCTGAGAGACAGAAATGAAAAATTACGATGCTCGTGCAGGTTACGCTGGCCCTGTCGCAAACGTCGGACCCGAACCCCGCACGGACATGTCCGGTAAGAGCTCCCCGTCACTCATGCCACCAAGGTAACAGATTTTGTGTGCACCCGTCGTACTGCTGGAGTTGCTCTAAGAGCTATATATGTGCCCGCGAGTAAGTTGAGTTCATGCAGCACGCTTCAGCAGAGAGTTGTGTTGTTTTACACAGCCGGAAGCATGCCCATGACCAATCCTCTGCCCATGCTCCTTACCATCGTATGCGCCACTTTGTGGCTAACCGGTGGTGCTGGTGCGCCGCAATCCCAGCACTTCCATGATGGTGGCACCGGCACTGGCTGCATCCCATCTGAGAGGGCCGCCTTGTTGTCCTTCAAGAAGGGCATCACAAACGACAGCACCAATCGCCTCGGTTCATGGCACGGCCAAGATTGCTGCCGGTGGAGAGGTGTCACCTGCAGCAACCGAACCGGCAACGTCCTCATGCTCCATCTCGGCTACCCGATCAATCCAGATGACTTCTTCTTCTACCCAGATGTATGTGACGATTCCAGAACTTTGTTTGGTGAGATAAGTCCCTCTCTACTCTTGCTGGAACATCTAGAGCACATGGACCTAAGCCGGAACTGCTTGATAGGTCCACATGGGCGTATGCCTTCATTCTTGGGCTCCATGAAGAACCTGAGATATCTCAATCTCTCTGGAGTACCATTGAACGGTAGCGTGCCTCCTCAGTTAGGCAACCTATCGAAGTTGCAGTACCTTGAGATTGGCAGCCGAAATTGCGAGTATGGCATATACTCAAAGGACATTACTTGGTTAACAAACCTACCTTTGCTGCAGTACCTTGGCATGGGTTTTGTAGATCTCTCAGGGATAGCTCGTGATTGGGCTCATATACTGAATATGATTCCATCTTTAAGGGTCATTAGTCTTTCTGACTGTTCACTTGGTAGTGCAAACCAATCACTTGCATATTTTAATCTCACAAAACTTGAGGAGCTTGATCTCTCGGACAATAACTTTGATCACACATATAGATCGAGTTGGTTCTGGAGAGCGACAAGTCTCAAGCACCTTGTTCTGATGGACACCGGATTGTTTGGTCAATTGCCTGATGCACTAGGAAACCTGACATCCCTAATAGTTCTTGATTTATCAGAAAATGTGAACAAGGACATGATGATACTGCAAGGCTTGAAGAACCTTTGCAGTTTGGAAATCCTTGACCTTAGCTACAGTGGGATAAATAGAGATATAGCAGAGCTCATGGAGAGACTACCACTGTGCACAGGTGAAAACTTACAGTTACAGGAGCTCCGTCTGGGGTTCAATAGTTTCACAGGGACCCTGCCTAGTTCAATAGGGCGCTTCACGAGCTTAAGCATCCTTGAGCTCAACAATAACAATCTCAGTGGAAGTGTACCTACTGAAATTGGTACCCTTACAAATTTGACCTCTTTGGATCTAAGCAACAACAACATCATCAGCGGTGTGATCACCAAAGAGCACTTTGTAGGTCTGAAGAGCCTAAAGGAAATAGACCTGTCTTTCACTAATTTGAGTGTTGTAGTGGATGCAGATTGGATTCAACCATTCAGGCTGGAGTCTGCAAAGTTTGCATCTTGCCATTTGGGTCCTCTGTTTCCAGTTTGGCTTCACCAGCAGCTCCTTCAAATCACTCTGCTAGACATTTCAAGCACAGGGTTGGTGGGAAATATTCCTGATTGGTTTTGGTCATTTTCAAAGGCTGCTTATCTTGACATGTCTTACAATCAATTAAATGGTAACTTGCCGGCGCAAATGAGTGACATGGCCTTTCTAGTGCTAAACCTCAGTTCAAACAAACTCACAGGACAAATACCAGCATTTCCAAGAAACATCAGAAAGTTAGACATCTCTAACAATTCATTCTCAGGCATTATGCCACACAAGATCGAAGCTCCGCTGCTCCTAACACTAGTTATGTCCTCAAATCAAATTGGTGGCACCATTCCGGAGTCTATTTGCAGATTGCAGTCCCTGCTCGATCTAGATTTGTCGAACAATCTTTTGGAAGGTGAAATTCCTCAATGTTCTAACATTAAGTCCCTAAATTTTCTCCTCCTAAGCAACAACAATTTATCAGGAACATTCCCAGCATTTCTGCAGAACTGTACGGATATGCTGTTCTTGGATCTTGCATGGAATAATTTATCTGGAAGGTTACCTTCTTGGATATGGGAGCTGAAGGATTTACAGTTTCTACGTCTAAGCCACAATTCATTTTCTGGGAATATTCCGTCTGAAATAACAAGCCTTTCTTATCTTCAATACTTGGATCTATCAGGAAACTACTTTTCTGGTGTTATACCTCCTCATCTTTCAAATCTAACAGGTATGACCACGAAGGGTTACGATCCATTGGATCCTTCAAGCAATAGTGAAATTGAAATGGATATGATAATTGCTGGAGTCGATCAATTCAATGATATATGGTTAGTAATTACAAAAGGGCAACAGCTTAAATATGGTCGGGGACTTCTATATTTTGTAAGCATTGATTTGTCAGGCAACTACTTAACAGGTGAAATTCCTTTGGATATCACATCCCTTGATGCCTTAATAAATTTGAATTTATCATCAAACCGACTGGGTGGAAAAATTCCCAATAACATTGGTGCCATGTGGTCGTTGGAATCCCTGGACCTCTCCTGCAACAAGCTTTCTGGTGAAATCCCATGGAGCTTATCAAATCTGACATCTTTAAGCTACATGAACTTGTCCTACAACAATCTGTCAGGAAGGATACCCTCAGGCCGCCAACTCGACACCTTAAATGCGGACAACCCGTCACTTATGTACATAGGTAACAGTGGACTTTGTGGAGCTCCTCTTCAAAATAATTGTTCAGGAAATGGTACGTTCATCCCTGGTTATCACAGAAGCAATAGGCGAAAATTCGAGCCTGCGTCATTTCATATCGGTGTTGTATTGGGGCTTGTGGTGGGGCTGTGGATGGTGTTTTGTGCTCTGTTGTTCCTGAAGACATGGAGCGTTGCTTATTTTCGGCTCTTTGACAAGCTGTGTGACAAAATCTATGTGTTTGTAGCTGTAAAATGGGCAAGTATGACTATGAGTGCAGAATGAGAGCCAACATCTTGATGAAGGATATAGTATCCAGGCCACAACCAATACAATGGAAGCTGTTAGTGAACCAGTCTGGAAGATCCTGATGATATATTATATGAAGTAGTAAGCCATGTGAATTCGTCCAAATAAAGACCATGTTCTAATTAATCCTTCTAGCTGTTACGTGTAAACAACTATAATACTTATTTTGATTCAAGCACTACATGTGTAATTGCTTCGGCAGTTTTATCACTTTATCAATACATTTGTGTTTTCATTGGAAGACTGATGTCCAGGTTCAAAATGGCCATTCTATCAACTAGTAGCAAAAAGGCTGCGAAATTTCAGGTTATAATTTTGTAGTTTGAATAGCATTCTGAAACTGATAAGTGTACCAAGGGGAGCAGGAAGCCCAAAAATCCTAAAGGCTTATTTAGATACACTCAGTGTTGGTCCTGAGGATATCAAGGATAGAGCTAGACTAAAACTCAGGGCCCTTCTATAAATATGATAGCAATAATACCCAAAATATATACATATAAAAAATGTACCGCATTTAACATTTTTTCTAAAAGCAATATTCATGCAACATAATTATACATATTAAATTACCTTAAAAATTTCTTCGAACGTTTCTCGATGCTAAGTAATTGATGATGGTATCAATATCAATCTCATCCAATAATTTCTTCCCAATGCATAATGTTGTTGTATGGCGGAATTTTAGCACGTTGTAATATTACATATCCTTTTTAGCATGAGACAAACGGGTCTTATAAAATAATTTGGTAATGGCATGATGCTTATACATACTCTTGTATATTATCACACACTTTACCAACTATGGGCTAGATATATTGAATATATTTGGGCTGCAAAGAGGTTATGAGCTTCCTAACCATCAATTAGAGCATAAAGCTTGATTAAAAAAAATTGGCTCATAGTTTATATATGGCTCATGCATGGCCCATCCAAAGTGGCGGAGGACAGAAAAAAATAAGGTATGGCAAAGTCAATAACATAGATAACAAAGTAATGTTATTTGAACCATATATACATTCTTCCAATTGTTAAACCCCCAACGTTGTGAAGACATCATATCCACATTTGTCATCCCTTTGATCATGCTTGAAAAGATAACAATAAAAGCAATAAGCCCTATCCTTAGCCACACTGTATTCACCATTTTTTTTCTCCAAAAGCATCTTTTTTTTCTTTGATTCAGGAAAATTACAACCGATTGGTTGAGTTGGACCATTATCTATGAAAGCCTTTCTAACTTTGGATCTAATGTTGGTAGAGAATTGACGAAGCCCTGGATCGGTGATAATGTGATCCGGATTGAACTGAGTTATAATACCCACTTTCAATCTCCTCTTCCACTGCAACGACAGCTTGTTCACACTCATCTGAGTCATAGTCATCTTCCATATTTATATTTTATATTACTCCCTGTGCATCAAAATCAATCAGACAAAATCAATTGGTAATCGAAAGTTTGAACAAACAACAATGAAAAAAACGAAAAAAAAGTGTCAAGGAATTGGACGACTTAATGTAACAACACCGACGCTTTTGTGACGAACTGACGAAGTGCTGTACGTGTCGAAGTGCCGAATTGAGCCATGCCAAAGTTGCGAAGTGATCCGTAGCTGACGGCTTCGTCTCATCCTCTGTGATCCCCGGCTCGCTGTCGCTGCCCACACCGCATCCGAGAAGTTCGTTGGTTTTAGCGAGGGCTTATCAGTCAGCCAACGGTATTTTTCTCTCATAACAAAATAGTTTTTCTTTCACAATAAACCAGTACCAGCTGACCTTATTAGCCCAGAAACAAAAAAAAAAAAAAACAGACCGGAGATTTGGAGCGGCCGGCGCCGGAAGGCAAAGCGTCGGGGTGTGTGTGACAGGAAAACGAACGGGCTAATATGCAGTCCTAACAAGCCACAAGAAGGCCCAAAGGCCAACTAATGAAGTTATGAAGTAACGGTTCAGTCTTCTTCCTCATGCGGACGTTCAGACTTCTTCAATAGCAGCAGCAGCAGCAGCAGCGGGGGACCTTCAGCCTTGCATCCATGGCTGCCGGGGCAACTCGAGCATCCGCGGCGGAGCCAACCTTGCCCTACCGAGCCCTCTGCCCCTGTCTCTCACGTGTGGCTTGCCGAGACCTACAAGCCCATGGGCCATGGTGAACTTTTTGGATAAAATAACCAGTATATTGTTGATTAAGCCCACTAGTTACCTGATTATACATGCAGTGATGCAAAGTGTGTGTACGTGTTACTATATGGCTACACAAGACACAGGAGCTTCAGGTTAATTATCTTGAAATTAGTACAATAATGGTCTATATATCAAGCATATATACGTTACGTGAATACCATATCCTTCTTGTTGGGTATATAAGAAGAGCTTCCAAAAGGGCTGACAGCCTGTATGCACGTATATCTATCTCTTTTTTTTTTGACTCAAAACAGGAGGGTTATGAGCCCCTACTTTATTGCACAAAAAAGTAAAGGGTTTGAAATACAAAATCATGAAACAAAAAAGGTTCACATAAGCTTCTAGCCAGGAAGGTATTTGCTCTTTGCCCTTAGAATAACCAAGAGAAATTCGGACTTGAAGATTGAACGACATCTCTGGACTGAAGCAGTTCTACCTTTGAAGATCACATCATTTCTGACAGCCCAAATTGACCAGCACATAGTGATGATAATCTCCATGAAAAACGGCAAGCCAAGTTGTGCTCTAAAACTGACCACAGTGGTGAGCATATCATCTGGATCTGTCACAATTACTTGGAGAGTATTCCAACATGCTAGAGCAAAAGGACAGCCAATAAAAGACGCAGAAGAGTTTCCAAAGTATTATGAGGACAATGAACGCAGCTGTAATCAGCCAAAAACCTGTTCGAAGAAGGTCCCTTGTACTCAGTCTGTCTTTAAGTAGTAACCAAAAGAAAATTTTCCTCTTATTCTGACAGGAAGATTTCCAAAGCCATTGGTAAACCTGGTGCACAGTTTGGCGACCAATCAAGACTTTGTAAGCTTTGCTCGAAGAATAAATTGAAGAGCCCCATATATAGGACCATTGATCTGGTTGATCCTGAAGGTTTGTGTCTTGAATAAGATCCACAACTTCCTAAAACTGAGCATAAGACTTAGTTGTGAGCGGCAAGTGAAACAGGGAAGTAGGAATCGGTGTATTCAGAGTTGACTGGACTGAAATGTGGGTGTTCTTAGCAAACGAATGCAACTCCGGGTAAGCCTGCAGCAGAACTGTGCCATTCCAGCGATCTAACCAAAAGAAACAGGATTTTCCATCTCTAACTGCAACTGAAGCCAAGTTCTTGTAGATATCCAAGAGCTTTAAGATGTCCCGCCACCAAAAAGAGCCACTGGGGTTATTTGTGAGACAAGGAAGACAGCCTCCAGAATAATAACAATCCCAAACTAAGTGAACCCATGGAATGTCCATGCGGTTAAAGAACTTGTGTAGATGCTTGAGCAAAAGGCCTTCATTATGTGTGCGAAGATTAAGAACACCCAGTCCACCTTCAGGTTTTGGAAAACAAATCATTGGCCAAGCTGCTTTTGGAGGTTTTCTATTGTTGATATTTGAACCCCGCCATAAGCAATATTTTCGAAACTTGTCTATATGTTTGATGATAGTTTTTGGCAAGAGGAAGATGCTCATAGCAAAAGTAGGCAAAGCTGAGAAAACCGCATTAGTAAGCTCTAATCGCCGGGCCTCATTTAGAAAGGATGATACACTGACTAATCTTCGCTCACATCTGGAAACAATGGGCCAGAAGTCAGCTACTGTTGGCCTTGTAATACTCCAGGGGAGGCCTAAGTACGTGAAAGGCAGAGACCCCTCGGAACACCCAAAGGCTGCGGCTATCTCTCTCTTGGTCACCATGTACTGATGTACATGTACTGGACATTATACACAAGTACAATATCGTTACTATGGCCTCATAACAGGGACGACCGATGATCAAAGATACCTTCCAGAAGCTTCTGCTTGTATTACGGCGTGAGCTATGCAAGCTGTGGATGAATTGATGCCGGATATGGGAAGGTACTTATATATGATTGATCGACAAGCTGGTTAGCTCTGATGATCCGATCCCATTGATCAGTTGCTGGGTACGTCATTGATCAGCAACGGAATCCGGACGTCTCGCTCGGGCTCTGACTCGCTCGCTAAAATAGATCAAAGGCGGCCGGCGCTCATCCCTCGCTCCTTCCTCCATCAACCCTAGGTATCGCCTAATAAATAGATCCTCTCCCCCTCTCACACGTACGGAGGCTCTGGCTGGCAGCACACGCACACACTCCATCTCCAACACGGTGCCACCCTGTGGCTGCTACACCTGCACCTCTGCATGCGCGCGCGCACGCACACACATTTACATCACGCCGCCACCCCCTGCATCGCCATTCATACACATTTACATCATTGTTGACGGTCATTAATGTCAATCATAAATCATCAATATACCTTGTATTTATTCTTAAAATCAATCACCAATATATGTGTAGTGGTTTAGAACTAAGTATTTCCACAAGTTTTCGTGATTTTATGAATGCAAACAGGACAAGTGGGCCATATTATCACAACGAATCAAGATCCAATCGCCATGAAACTAACTCTACTGGGCCTTAAACATCATTACCTGTCGAAGGAATGAAGCCTGACTGACAGGAGGGCCAAGGTGGGGTCTGAAGGTCGGACGACCTCCCCTGACCCCACCTGTCAGCTCCCATCAGCTCCACAGACTTTGAGGATAAATCTCCACCTGTCAGCTCCCATCACACGCAATTAATTCAGAAGAGAAGAGTAGAACTCCAGTTATCCATAGTTTTAGTATAGTTTAGCTAAAGTAAGACTCAAGTAGAATTGTGTTATCATTCAAGGTTCTAGATTCATCTCTGAAAGACGGTATAACTTTTATATCCTTTTACTATCTTATCATAACTTTGTTCTTAATCCATATAATGTTTATCTTTATTATG